TTGTGAGAGTCAAGAAGGACAAGAGACATAGAGTACTTTGTGAACTGGGATTTTTAAAGAAATCTCCTATGCAACCTCCTCTCACAATTTTTTTAAAGCGTCAAAATTAAGCCAAGAAATAGATGAAAATTGACTTTTTTAAATTAATTTTCACGGACGAATCTCGAGCGACATTTGATGGACATGATGGATGGGCCAAAGAATGGTTTTTATCCGAATCAGATATGCCTATGGCTAAAATCAGGCAACAAGGAGGCGGTAGTGTTATGATATTGGCTTGAATCGTCGTCCAAACCATTATTGAACCATTCAAAGTCGATGAAGCAGTTAAACTGAATAGTGTAACTATTGTGATTTTATGAACATAACTTTCTTTGCATCGTATAGCAGTCTCGCAGTTTCAAAGTGAAATGTGTATCTATGCACGACAATGCCCCTTCTCATGTAGCTAAGCTTACCCGTGAATTATTTGAGCCTGAAAGATTTACAGGAAAGAAATAACGAAAGTCCTGATCTGAATCCCATCAAAAATCTATGGTCAAGTATGAAGTTGAAATTATATGAAAATATAAAACAATATAACAGCAAAGCAAACCTATGAGAAGCAATTAAATCTACCATGTCGGAAATTGAACCTTCTAAAATAAAAAATTAACTAAATCAATGGATAATAAATTGATGGCTGTTATTGAGAAGAAGGGTCACTACATTAAAATGTAAAGGATTGAAAAGACTTATCATATGTGTTTGTTAACTGTTCTATTATAGCTGTGATCGATTTTTGATGATTTTATTACATTTTTATTGAAGTAAAATGTGATTATTTGGTTTTGCCTAAGTTCAGACGGTAACTTTTTAGAATACATCAAATAAGTTCAGTAACTTCAATAAACTTCAATATCGATACTACCTGAAATTTTAACTCAGATTTTGTTTTGACATCTAAACTGACTTTAAAATTCGGCAATTTTTTTTAAAACCAAACTTGAATTATTGAAGTTTATATGATTTGCTTAATAACAGACTGAGATAGATAGATAGATAGATAGATAGATAGATAGATAGATAGTGTTGTAACCTAGGGAGATTTACTGAATAGAATAATCACACGAAGGTTGTTAATGAGCAATAATACTTAAGAAAAGAACAACACATATAAGATTCGCCAGCGGCGCGTAGAAGTAGTCAACTGCTAGAAGTGAGTCATGTGAATTCCACAATGAATCGCAGACCAACATAGTATTCACTACTGTATTTATGGGAATGAGGGCATGCCCATTATCGTCCGTAGGTATGCTACAGCATATAGCTAGCTAGCTAGCTGGATAGATAGATAGATAGATAGATAGATAGATAGATAGATAGATATAAACAGACAGAGAAAGAAAGAAAGAAAGAAAGAAAGAAAGAAAGAATCTGGCTGTCTTATTTTAAATAGCATTGAAAATAACTGGTTAGAAAGAAGGCTGTATTAAATGGATTTCACATCTGCAGACAATTACGTCCGTATTTTCTCGCCATTAATAGTAGTTCTCATTACAAAACAAATAAAAAAAATATTAAGTCGTTTTTCACTAGCTTCAAAGAAAAGTTTTGAATTATTGGAAAAACACATATGCCAAACCATAAATAATACACACACACACACACACACATATATATATATATATATATATATATATATATATAAAGAGAGAGACATTTGTTTGCTGCAAAGGTTCCTGCATTTTCTTAACGAAATCGTTTCTTTATATTAATTCGTAGCATCATTATTCAGACATCAAATGTTTTCCTCAATAAAAGCTCAAAGTTAATTCTAGTTCAGTTGATCTCTCTTGAACAAAAAACTTGGTCGCTGCTTTCATTCCTCGATACGAATTGATTAATGAGTAAGGTTAATAGCAGTCACAAATTTAATTTAACTCGTTTTTCTTTCCAATAGCTTCTGGTTTGATGTCGAAAAAAAAAAACACTTACAATTTCTACGTCCACTGTAATTCATACGATTCATGAAGTTCTAATATCCGCAAGACATGATTTATGGCACACATATTTTTGTCTATACATCTTTATACACGTCTGTAATTGCGTCCTTATCTTTCAAAGCGTTCTTCGGAATGTTGTTCTGATTCCTTCTCTTTCTGTTGTTGCCACAATGGTCCGGACGATCTATTCTTTAGCCTTCTTCAAGTGTACAAAGATAGTTTCTGTAATTTTTTCGGATGAGTCATTATAATTCCAAGAGTATTTCTGGCTATAGGTTTCATTCTTTTTGCTGCTGTTTTGTTACTATAATGTTCCAGCCGATCCATTCTACAGCCTTCTTCAGAGGGCAAAGATGATGTCGCCGTCGTGCCCTTTTCCCGGTGGCAAGTTCCCCGTACAGAAGGATCTTCAGAATCCTCGCGTCCTGCATACGGTGTACATGTCCAAGCCAGCCGAGACGGCGATGTGGGGGAAGGGCGACTGGGTAAGCGGGCACGGGTGAGAACTATGGTTG